CACAGAAGCTTTTACACACAGGCTTTACACACAGACGCTTTTTCAAAAGAAGCTTTTACACACAGAACTTGTTATTTACACACAGACACTTTTACACACAGAAGCTTTTACCCACGGAAGCTTTTACACACAGAAGCTTTACATACAGAAGTTTATACACACAGAAGCTTTTACACACAGAAGCTTTTACACACAGAAGCTTTTACACACAGAAGCTTTTACACACAGAAGCTTTTACACGCAGAAGCTTTTACACACAGAAGCTTTTACAGACAGATGCTTTTACACACAGAAGCTGTTACAGACAGATGCTTTTACACACAGAAGCTGCTACACGCGGAAGCTTTTACACACAAAAGCGTTTAGACTCAAAAGCTTTTACGCGCAGAAGCTTTTACACACAGAAGCTTTTACAGACAGATGCTTTTACACACAGAAGCTGCACATCAAACTCCCTTGGGGCCACCTCTCTATGGCCGGCAGACCTTGCCGAAGGCAATTAAATAAACTTTCTGGAGCAGCATGCCCGCCTCACCAGATCATCAAGCCTTCCCCTTCCCTCCAAGGCTTGGACCACCCTTTTCCAAGCGTCCTCTCTGTCAACCAATACTTCTTCAAGCGCATCCTGCAAATTCTTTTCAAGATTGCGTGGGAAGTAGTCGTGGCTGATCTGATTCATCTTCTCCTTGTGAGCAAGCTCCCAACTTGCCTGCAAAGGCTCCTGCAGGGCTTTGTTGATCGCAGCATATTTCTCATCCTTCCAAAGGGCAAGCTCCGGGCACCTTCGCTGTCCCGAACAGGAGGGTGGATCCATGGACATTCCTGACTGAGGCTGGCCAGTCTCCCACTGTTCTTCTTCTAGCCTCAATGGTTCAAGCTCAGATGGAGAAGGCTCAGGAAGAGAAAAATCGTGTTTGGCCGGGCAAGGCGGTTGTGCCTGGTGCAGCTGAACCTCCAAAGTTGGACTTGGCCGCTGAAATTCCAATGCTGCATACGTCTCCACAACACCTGTCAAGAATTCATGCAACTCATGGGCTTTCCACCACTGCTCCATCAAGTTGTTGAGCTCATCTTTCAATGAGGCTGGCTGGGTTATCATCTCATCTTGACAATCGTACGGAATCTTCCGGAGCCAGCTGATGAAAGCTTGATGCACTCGGCTCTCAATGCGTCTGCAGGTCTCGGCACAACTCTGCTCGTGCTTGTTCCGTCTCTTCTCGAACTCCACATCTGCCTGCTCCTGTTCCCGACGGGTTGGCATCTGAGGACGAGGTTCATCAAATACCTTGAGATGATTTTGGATAATTGAGCGAACTTGCCTGGGATTGAAACCCCGCTGATCTGGCTTCTCATATTCGGCATGCTGTGGCACGGTCCAATGCATGAACATCTCTCGGTTCACACAAATGGTCCCTAGCATCTGGAGGTAGCCAGTGAAGTCTGGCCACTTGAACGCCGTGTAAGCCAATAGTAACCCAAACTTGTCTTCTTTCTTACGCATCGCAGCCTGGTACAACCCAATCCACAAATCTCGCAGGCTGACCTGGCTCTGGCTAAGCGTGTTCTGCCAATCACTGATGGGGGCATCCTCCAAACAGTCCTTTGAGAAGCCTTGCAGGGGCTCCTTCGTCAGAAGGATATCTTTCAAGGCAGGTTTCATCAGCTGCAGCTGCGCTTGCAATGGCAAAAAGACCGACGAAGCAACCGACCTGGCTGCCTCACTGCCATCACTGTCAGCAAGAGCCTCTCTCCAAACGGGGAGGTTCGAGGCCTTCATGGAAGCTTCCTCCTCGTCAGTTAGGCACCCTGGCAAACCGTACACATCTCGGCTGCGAGCGTAAGCCCTTTGCTGAAGTTCCCCACATAACTCGTTGCACTCTTGGACTGCTTCAAGACAGCAATCCACACCCACCAAATGCTGGTGCTCCGCAATCTCAACAATGGCATCACGAGCCAGAAAAGCCAAACCTTCATGCGCACAAAGGCCGGGCAAGGGAAAGGACACAACTTCTGGCCGGTTCTTTTCAATCTGGCGGTTGGGAGAGAGGGCTGCGATTTCCAACAGAATACTCTGCTCCATCCCCTGCTCTGCATCGTCAGGCCCGCTGCAAAGATTTCCTCTGACACGTGCAGAACGCAGAAGGCTCACCGCACGCTCTGTGCCTGTTTGAAGCGTGAATGGATCTCGGAGCACATGCGAAGTCATGGCATGTAGCATGGCAAGGTACAAGCTGGCAACTCGATCCCTTTGCCCGCGTAGTTCCCACAAGTCTGCACGAAGTGAATAAACAAACAAAGCAGGATCGCGCAAATCACTAAGATCTAGATGTACCGTGCAGTGATTTCCTTTGTCGTATCGGCAAACTGCTGCGTGTGGCAAAAGCAGCTTCGTCTCGTGAGGGCTCTCAAGAAGCAGCCCATGCTTCAATCCCACCAGTGTTCCAAAATTTTGGTTCATTGCCACAGAGCCACCAAACTCTGTAGATGAGATCTGGGCCATATCCCCTGTCACATCAATATGGAAACGGATTGATTGCAACCTGGGCAGGGCGGACAACCTTATGCACTAGCGATGAAAATATCCAACCATAAGAACCACAGAAAACAAAATGCTATGCCCTCAACCTTTTTCTGTACCCTTTTAAAAGCTCAAAGCTGCAATGCTTAGCTTCCTGTATCCTCTTGCAGCATTCAGGACACAAAAACATACCTTTCACTTTTCACCATTAAATCTTGGACTTGGCAACATCTTTGACGAACCTTCTTGGTTTTCAAAACTGTCACAATACAAGACAATAATTTCAATAAAATACCATATTCAATACATGGATATGTTTTTTAGATATCCATTATACAAACTGCCGCTTGGGTAATGACTTTGAAAACTTCTGCCTCATGGGACCTGACGGTTCTATGATTTTGCGAACGAACCGACTTCTTGTGAACTCGCGCAAACGAAACTCGCGCAAATGGCAATATTGGCTGAACGTTGAACCCTTTTGTTTGTAGGCTGCTCGGTGTGGTTGGGGTGCTTTGTGTCTTTTGAAAGGAGTGCTCCAAAACTGCCCCATGCATGAGTGACCTTGAATGACGACTACGTACGATATTGCACGATGCTCGCTACGCTGCTCTTTGGCCGCCTGGGGCAAGAGCTCTACGGGGCACTGCGACTTGTTCATCCTTGGCTGCAATCCTTTCAAGGCAAGAGGACCACTGGGCGGGTCAATGCCACAACTTGCGCAACTTGCTTTTGATTTCTCTTTTAGCTGGTTTCTGTCCGTCCATTCAAAATACATCAAAATACATCATTTGTTTCTACGGACATCATCCAGCTACCCATCTCCATGTACTTTCACTATGTCGTTTCATTTATTGTAAGACGTGTACCTACAAGTACATACGGTGGTGCGTTGTGCTCAGAGCATCATCATCAACTCTAACAAAAAACACGGCTCAGTTGAATCTTGCAACTGCACACCACACCTTGGCAGAATTGCAACCGGATTTTGCTCTCCTCTGTGAAAAATGTGCACCCTCCCACTCTCCTCCAGCCGGCCGAAGACGGTGAACAATGCACTGAAAGTCTCGCTCCTTACATCAACCAATGTGAAGCCTGTCTTTGTTTCCTTGATTCTGGAAGTGCGAAAGTTCAGCATGTACAAACTGCCTTCTTGCGAGCACCCAAGTTCAAAACCAGGGTCTTGAAAGAAAACTGGTCGGAAGTAGATCATAAGTGTGTCTTGCACGATCCAATGACTGTAATCTTGAATCAAGCTGAATGGCAAATCACCGTCAAACGACTTGTGCGGGAGGAGAGTGGCAAGGACCCTTCTTCCATCAACCTCTCGCTCTTCTGAAATGACAACATGATCCCCGCACAGTTGAAATTTGAAGCAAGCACCCAGAATTTGAGAGGTTTTGAAACCTCCTCCACATGCTGGTTGCACATCAAATACTGCATCTCTGAAGAGCCTGGCATACTCATCACTCAAAGATATCTTCTCCGGCAAACGCCCAATAGGCTTGCCATCAACTAAAAAGCCCCCTTTCAGGACGTCTACTTGAAGAAGGGTTGTAGTTGCGGCCCCAGTAGAAAACCTGGCTTCATACCACCATTCACTTGGCTTTGAACACTGTGTCCAAGAGCCGATCGATCCATGCCCCGAATCACTCCAATGCTTCAGGATGAAGGTGGAAATGAATTTGCCTTGGCAATCAGAGCAAACATCGTGGATCTGGGTCTCGAGACGAAAGCTGGTCTTCATTGCCTGTGTCAGAAGTTGCTTCCTCCAGGAATCCATGTGCGTGATTTGTTCCTTACCCAGCAGGGAATTGTCGTGTTGAACGGCACGGGCTGTGAGCCAGTCTGACAAGCTGTCACGTGTGACTGCAACCTGGCCTTGTGGTAGAAATGTAAGAGCTATGATAGAAGATATATCCACCAGTTTGCGTCGAAAAACTTGCATTTGCGATGCTTCGAGGTTCGCAACAAGAGTTGTCTGAATTTCTGTAAGCCAGCGTAGACCAACCTGTCGAGACTTTAACAGTAAGGTTTCAGCGGTTGCAGCAACATTCGGCGAGTGCTCTGCCACACACTGCCCGATGAGGACAACAAAAAGAAGTGTGCAATAGCTACACCAATTGTCCTTCGTGTGTTCCAACAAGCTGAAGCATTCATCGCACAAGTTCCTGGAAAGCTCTTCATCCTCCAAAAAGGCATGGGCCACTCGAAGCCACGGCTCGGAAGGCTTCAAGGCGGCAAGCTGTTTCAAATGCACAGCCTCCCGTGATGTGACCGTCAGGGGCATCTCAGCACAGGAGGGTGGGCCTGCTTGCCACAGAAGCGCCTGCAAAAGATCAATGACCCCTTGGTTTCCAAACGACAAAGTGCGCAAACCAACAGCACGAAGTAGGCGCTGCAACTGTAAGTTTGCACCCGCACGCAGACAACCGAAGGTTTCGAACTCAAGCAGGTTTAGCGACGGGTGCGCTTGGGACTTCCGAGCAATGACCTGATTCTCCTCGTGCTCCCACGACTCAACAAAGTTTTGCAATGAAAGGTACTTCTCATCAGCAGTCTTCACCAGGGTTTTCTTTTTGACACACCAACTCCAGGTTCCGTTGATGGGTTCCTGTCGTCCACGGTCAAAAAAAGTTGTATCAAAACCGTGCTCCACAATGAAAGTAGAATCCTCGAGCACATGTTGGGCTGGGGCCCGGCGGAACTTTTTGCATGTTGATCCAAGACTGAATTTCGGTTCTAATGCAGAGCACCAGCCCTGAAGAGGTTTGTCCTCTCTCCACACGCCCTGCAGCGACATGCTCTGCGTGTACATCTCAGGAACACAAACTTCAGCTAGCATGCAAACCGCATCCCGTTGGAGCGCCAGCAACTCCGGCAGAGCAAGTTCAAAGACAACTCCTTGCCAAGCATTACTGGTTCTGGGTTACAACACGAGAGTTTGCCATGTTCGCTTTTGTGCACCCCACTACCCCCATTGGTACTGAAACACAACATCATCGCTGGTGGTTTAGTCGTCCTCCTCCAAAATGACAACATGAATGGCAACAGCAACAACAACAACAACAACAACAACAACAACAACCACGACAACAACCACAACAACAACAACAACCACAACCACAACAACCACAACAACCACAACAACCACAACAACCACAACAACCACAACAACCACAACAACCACAACAACCACAACAACCACCACAACCACAACAACCACAACAACCACAACAACCACAACAACCACAACAACCACAACAACCACAACAACCACAACAACCACAACAACCACAACCACAACAACCACCACAACCACAACAACCACAACAACCACAACCACAACAACCGCAACAACCACAACAACTACAACAAGCACAACAACCACAACCACAACAACCGCAACAACCACAACAACTACAACCATCACATCCACCACAATAACCACAATGACCACAATGACCACAATGACCACAATGACCACAATGACCACAATGACCACGACCACACCTACAGCGACAGCAACCACAATCAGACCACCACAATCGCAACAATCCCAACAACCGCAACAACTGCAACTGCTACACAAGCAGAGCCCACCGCGAGAAGAAAAGAAATCAAAAGTTGCTTTTCATTGGTTTGCCTTAGTTGTTGAGTGCTTGGGGTGTCAAATACTTGGCGCCCAGTTCCTGGCGCCAAGCCTGAAACAATGGCGCACCCATGCCCAACCACGAAGCAGGTGCGGTATGATCTGAAAACAATCCCCCGCGTATGTCTTCACCCTCTGCTCCTCGTTGCCCTTCATCTGATTCAGGTAGTAGTTTCACATAATACCTTACCTCAATACTTGCAGCCTCAGACCGACGATCCTTAGCCTTCCTCCGATGCCGACATCTTGAGCAGTCTGTGCTGTGCACCCATTCCAACTCCTCTTCATAATGATTGTAGCCTGAGCAAGAGCAAGGCACTGACTTTTGCATGACATGATATCCATTTCTGTCTCACAATTCAAGTTCAGCCTGCAAGAAGCTAGGGCAGCCCAGTTGCGGGAAAAGAACTGACACTGCAGGCGCCTTGCCTCTTCCTCTTCCTGAGCTGCTTCATCAAGCAATGTCTGGTGACGCGCCAGAGCCTTCTCCACTTCTTGAGCCTTCTTCTGCTGGTTGAAGCCACACATATCCAGAAGTCTCAATCTCAGCAATTCCATGTCGGCTGACTGTTTCTGAAATCTGACACTGAAGGAGTCTTGGTCCAAATTTACATCTGTTGGGCTTGGAAAAAGGGCAACCCTGTCACGACTCCACACATACTCCTCAAGCTCCGCAAGCAATTTCTTCTGTTGAGGGAGGGGAACCAAAATTCTGCAAAGCATTCCTACATCAATCCCAACACGATGTTCTTGCAGAAGTGGGAACTCGCGACAGGCTTCTCTGTCTACCAAAAGAGCCATGGCAGTTGCAGTGAGAACTTGCCGGCTTTGGCCCTCTGCATCGCCGCTGTACAAAAGATCACTTTGTTGTAAGTAGCATGGCATGAGATTCCGAAGCTCCAAAACCGCCTCTTCATCGCAGCCGGTCGTCCACACCTAATGACTGTCCATGTTCACTGGAGATTACTTAATCAAAATTACACCGACAAAACCGCAATGACACACGTGGAAGTGACGCGGTAGAATTCTGCTTTTGAAAGCCACGTAACTGAGCGAATGTGCTCCTCCAGATCCCAGAGCGCAGCCAATTTGGCAATGTGGTCTGCGCTGCTGGACAGAACGTGCACATGTGACTCAAAGGAAGGAAAGGCTCGCAGCACGCCAGGAAGATCGTTCACCTGCAGGAAGTTCACAATCAATTGCGGACGGCGCACAAACGAGAAAGATTGTTCTTGTCCTCGTTCTCATACGACTTTTTTACATGCATCACACTCCTGGATTATTAATTGGAAACAACGGCTACGAGCCATGAGTTGCAAGAGTGCATATG